CAGATAAACCCCTCAGGACCAATACTGAGAGTAGAGATACCAGGAGGGGAAAGGGAAGATGTGGGGAGAAAGGAGGAACTAATCACAAGGATCTACATATAACCCCCTCCCTAGGGGATGGACAACAGAAAAGTGGGTGAAGGGAGACATCGGTCAGTGTAAGATATGAAAAAATAATTTATAAATTATCAAGGGTTCAGGAGGGAGGGAGGGTGGGGAAGGGACGGTGAAAAATGAGAAGCTGATACAAAGTATCAGCTCAAGTAGAAAGAAAATGTTTTGAGATGGATGAGGGCAACAAATGTACAAATGTGCTTGACACAATGGATGTATGTATGGATTGTGAGAAAGAGTTGTACGAGCCCCCAATAAAATGATTAAAAACAAAACAAAGCAAAAAACAAACAATGGATCCATGATCACCATTGGGGGTGGTGGTGGTGGGGAAGCCTGTCAGCCTCACCTTGGCAGAATGATGAGGCAGCCTGGTGACCAGGGAGAGTTCCCCGCTACCCTATGGGTCCCCAGGAGTCAGATGGAATGGACTTGAGGCTGTGGGTATTTTGTTTAAGGAAAAAACCCAACCAAACTCAATGCCCAGGAGTCAATTGACCCCTAGTGACCCCAGAGGTCAGGGTGAAACTGCCCCTGGGGGTTTCTCCGGGTGTATGGTTGTTGTCAGGGGCTGTCGAGTGAGGCTCAGGTTCTGTGCAGCTGTGGGAAGGTCTGCAGGCAGCCCTGGACTGTCTTTCGCAGTGACGGTACAGGTGAGGGTCATGTAATGTCCCTTTGAGCTCACGGTGTGTCAGGGGTCAGAGCCTTGTCCTGAGGCCGGAGCCTCCCAGTCTGTGGTGATGGAGGCCCAAGGCCAAGCTCCCAGCTGTCTCTGAGGTTTGGCGGCTGGTCTCAGGCTGTCTGTGCAACCTTGTGTGGCTCAGTGCCCTTAGCCCCCTTGCCCAGCACCCTCCTCCCCAGGCAGGTTCCCATTGGAGGCCAGTTTCCCCTGCAGCTGGCTCAGCCTCTGCCTGGGGGCCAGTGTGCCTGGGAGCTCTGTGCCCCGAGGACACAGGTGCTCACACAACGCCCAGGTCATGTAACATCCTGCCCGCCCCCCCCGCCCCTCCCCAGCCATCCTGGATATTCAGTGGTGCACACTTGTGTGAGGTGGGAGCCAGCAGGTTGACTCCCTCTCCCTCTGAGGATGTGACCCGAGGCGCAAGGAGCGCGAGAACTTGCCCGTGGCAGGTGGTGGGACTGGGATTTGACCACAGCCTTCTGACTTCCGTGAGACAACCCGGAGGGTGGGGGTGGGGGCTGAGGCATACTCTGAGGGGTCTGCACCCCCCGTGGGCACTTCTTGCGGTTTACTCATGTCACCATTCCAGGGAGTGGAGGACCCGGGAATACTGTTTTCATGTCTGGCAGAATCGGCTCTGAGAAGCCAGGATCCCGCCCGCAGTGCCGCGGGGGACAATGTCCTTGTGAAGCGTCTGCTCTTCGCTTACCGTGATCCACGGGACAGGTCCGCAGTCAGCTTACGGTCATCCATTCAGTTCTGACTCACAGGGACCCCACGGGCTTCCCTCCGAAGCCAGAATCCTTACAGAAGCCGACCTCCATGTCTTTTCTCCCTCAGAGTGCCTGGTGCCTTCAAACCACTGGCCTTTTGGTTAGCAGTCAGCTCCTAACCACGGCACCACCAGGTGCCAGTCCTGCAGGGGAGTGTTAGTATCTTCCTTATATTGCCGCCGCCACCAGGGAACTCAGGGAGGTGGAATCTCAGATGCCACGGTGTGTCCTTCCCGCCAGGCCCCGGGAAGAGGGAGCAGCTCCTTCATTCTGTCAGCAAATGATTCCGAGCCCTTCCTGGGTACCGGTGCCCGGCTGGAATGCTAAGAGTCAGGTTCCTGAGAGACTGACACTGTACTAAGAGCTGCGACAGCCCTGCCAGGGGGCTTTAGCAAGTCCCTGGAACATTCCATCCCCCTTTCTTTCCATATCCCCACGGACTGTCTGTCGTGCCTCCTACACCCACTCTGAAGGCGTTTCATCTCACAGCTGTGCTTGGGGCGTAGGGTGCCCTGCTGGCACACTGTGAAATGTGTGGCTGCCAGCTCAAATGCTGGTGGCTTGAACCCACCGGTGGCTCTGAGGGAGCCAGACCCGGCAAGATGACAGCCCCGGAAACCTGGGTGGGTGGGGGAGACAGCTCTCCTCTGTCCTATGGGGTCGCAGTGCGTTACAACTGATCCCACAACAACGGCAGCAGGCCTCCCCCTGCCTTCCAGGAGGCAGACGTGAGACATGAGCGTCTTGCGCACCAGAGGGGCCCACGGCCTGCAGAGCCTGCCGGGACTGCTCTCTGGCAGGGATCCCAGCTGGTGAGTCTCAAGCCCTGCATTTCTCTCCGACAGGGATTTCAGCATGAGCGTCCCTGATTACATGCAGTGTGCGGAGGACCACCAGACCCTGCTGGTGGTGGTGCAGCCTGTGGGGATTGTCTCGGAGGAGAATTTCTTCAGGATCTACAAGAGGATCTCCTCGGTGAGCCAGATCAGCGTCCGGGACTCCCAGCGAGTGCTGTACATCCGCTACCGGCACCACTACCCGCCCGACAACAACGAGTGGGGCGACTTCCAGACCCACCGCAAGGTGGTAGGCCTCATCACCATCACCGACTGCCTCGCCGCCCAGGACTGGCCACAGACCTTCGAGAAGTTCCACGTGCAGAAGGAGATCTACGGCTCCACGCTCTACGACTCGCGGCTCTTCGTCTTCGGGCTGCGGGGGGAGGTCGCCGAGCAGCCGCGCACGGACGTGGCCTTCTACCCCGACTACGAGGACTGCGGGACGGTGGAGAAGCGGGTGGAGGACTTCATCGAGTCCCTCTTCATCGTGCTCGAGTCCAAGCGTCTGGACAGAGCCACGGACAAGTCTGGGGACAAGATCCCCCTTCTCTGTGTCCCCTTTGAGAAGAAGGACTTTGTCGGCCTGGACACAGACAGTAGGTAAGTTCGCCCCTCCCACCCCCGGGGACCCAGGCTGCTTGGTTAGGGGGGCTTCTTGACACCAGATGGTGTCATCAAAGGGGGCAGATGCTATTGCAGCGGGAGGTTGAAAACCACAGCCTGTCGGGCATAGCCCTTGTTTGGGGGAAATCTTTTAGGATTCGTACACGGGCTCCACATTTTAAACAGGAACACTTGAATGGGACTCCCTAGAGCTAGGCCCCCCAGCACGGTAGCCACGGTCACTCAGGGCTACCTTTTGAGCTCTAGAAGCTAGGCCCATCTGAATTGCTGTGTCAGATAGCTAGATACACACCGGATTCTGAGACAGGGCATGGAAAAGATGCCAGGTACTTAACCTCCCTGTCTTTTTGCATCTTGCCCACTGGAATCATCTTTCACATCCGTTAGGCCATACAAATGCAGCAGGGTGGGAGCTATTAGAGCCGGGCCCGGATCCACCGACTTGATTCCCTGGTCCCTCAAGTACCCCGTCTCTGACGGGGCAGTCTGGCCACCGTCCTCTCTGCACCTCTCCTGAGGGCCGCAGCGTCTGGAAGAATATATCAGAATCTCAGAATGCCTGAGGGGCCACCGTAGACCCTTTGGAGAAGGAACTGTGGGTGGAGCCGCAAGAGCCCAGCCTCCATGTTTCCCTACTGGGAAGCCAGCCGCTTTCCCTGGAGTCAGTGGCTCAACAGCGTCTCTTGTTGGCCCAGGCTCCGTGTGCCCTCTCTTGTTCTGCCACAAGGCCATTCCGGCCTCTCAGCTGGGGAGCAGCTGAGCCCCTCAGAAGCCGGGCTCAGAGCCTGCCAGGGTCCCGAGCCACCTCGTGGCCAAGGACGAGGTGCACAGTTACTCCCAGCCCCTCCCTGCCCTCTGCGCAGTCAGGTGAGGTGCCAGGGTGTGGTGGATGAGCCCACACCATCCCTGTGGGTTGGGGGAGTGTCACACACTCCCTGGGGACCTGAGAAAGGCGGGCCAGGCAGAGCAAGTCTTTGGGCAGCGCTGCTGGTTCTTAGCTGCTGTTTGTTTGGCATCTGGAAGCAAAAGGTTATTGTGGTCCTCTCTGCAGCCCACCCATCCACACGGCTCTGGCTCCCGTGTTACCGACGTGGTGAGGCTGGGGACCTGGGTGGCAGCTGCTGTGGGGCAGAGCTGGCGTCTGAAAGGTCTTTCCATGTCCCCCCGGCACCATCCCCCCACTGTCTGGTCAGGGCCCTGCTCCTATGAGTAGGGCTGTCAGGCCAAGCAGGTGCCCTACGTGGCCACCCTCTACATACGCACCATGGTGATGTAGGACGGAGCACGCAGAGCTGCCTGTGCCTCTTGGTCTCTGAGGCAAGCCTGGGGGACGACCCATGTCCCCCATGCTGACCCTGCCCAGGCGCCCTACCCAGGGCCCCAGGAGGCACGGTGATGGGCTGGCAGCTCCCCAAGGAGGCCCGCTCTTGCCTGCTCTAGAAGGTGACACTCACCTTTAGGGGGAACCAGTGGGTGTGTGCTGGGCACTGCCCGGCCAGGCCCCTTGTTCTTTTGTCCTGCTTGGCCACGGCCACAGAACGCCCCCCGGGGAATTTCTTAACCTCTAACGAGCTAAAGGTGCCAGGGAACTAGGCCAGGTCACAGCCCCTCTGCCGGCCACTAAGCTGGCCTCTCACAGCTGAGCAACACTGCCCACCTGCCCACACACCGGGACCACCCTGCTGTGTGTGGGTCAGTACTGCCTGGGTCCGTAGGAAATGCCTGGATGCATGCGCCCCGGACCCCCAGGGGGGTCCGCGGAAGAAGCTTCCCATGACCCCAGCATTGTCTACACCTCACCCAACCGTCACCCCCCAGACACACTGTGTCGTCGGCTCTGTTGTGGCGTGGTTCTAATTTCCGTTTTGTTCCTCTTTCTTTTCTCCCCCCTGGCCTGTCTTTTCTCTCGTACTGCCCTGTGAGTATGTTGTTGGGCGTCAAAAGGTAGGCTGTGCTCCGCTGTGGCCCCTGCCGCTTCCCCACGTCCAGGCGCCCCCGCCCGCCCTTCCTTTGCGTGTGTGTGCATGTGCGCATGCCTGTGTGTGCGTGCGCGTGTGTGTGCACGCACCACCTCCTCCTTCATTCCCGCTTGGGCCCCTGTGTGTCCCTCACAGGTGTTCGAAGGCTGATCAAGCGCTGGCTTTGGTGATCCACGGGCCCGGTCTTCCTTGTGTTGTTTGGGGGCTGCACGGCGCCCCTGGGGCTGGCTGCAGAGGGCTCCCCGCGAGTTCCCCCTTGGGCCGCCTTGGCTTCAGAGGCTTCTGGGAGGGGCCTGGCCTGTGGCTGCCCCTGCCGTCGCTGCGTGCCCTGCATGTGCTGGCTGTCTGGCCGGGGGTGGGACAGCCCCCATCTTGGCTTTCTCCTTCCATCAGCCAAGGGGCTTTCTCGCCTCAAGGGACAGAAGCTGCTTAGAAATCTATGCTCTCTTCTTTTTATGACCCCCCCCACCCCCGCCTTTTGTTGTGAGTTGGCTGAAAGCTGGCAGTGCAGTGGGTCGGCTCGCAGTTGAGTTGTGTGTGTCCCGTGTGGTGGACTGCAGCCCCCACAGTGCTGCAGAACTCGGCGCCCTGTGTTTCTCTACCCACCCCACCCCCAGCTCCATCCCACCTGCTTCTCCAGTCACTTCCTGCCCCCTGCCAGGCCCTCTTGGCACAGGGGGTACACTGGGCTGCTGACTCTTGGGGTCAGCTGTTCGAAAACACCAGCCATTCCTCAGGAGAAAGACGAGCTTTCTACTCCTGTAGAGCCACTGTCTGAGGACCCTCAGGGGCAGTTCTGCGCTGACCTGTAGGGGCGCTGTGAGTCAGAATTGATTTGATGGCAGTGGGTCTGCTCCACTCCAGTAGTTAGTCTTGGAAACCCGCTCTCCGGCCTGCTCTGCTCAGATGCAGTGGGCGACGGGGTCTCCGAGAGGTGGGGTCCACTTGGCAGTAGCGGGCAATGGCCTGGTTATCTGATTGTTAGCATTCAGTGGCCGTTACCCCCGGGCCAGCCTGTAGTTCATGGACCTCCCACGTCTGAGGTGAGCCCTGAAGGGCGACACTTTGGCTGCCCGGCCCTCCGATTTCTCCCCTCTGCTTCCTCTCACTTGGACAGCCCCTCCACCATCTTGAATATCCGGAATGCTCTGGTTCTGCAGTGAGCACTTGTGTTCTTGGCTCACCTCTCTCAACAGGTACAGCAGAACCTCCAGGAAGATTTCATTTCCCCCTGGGGTGGGGAGGACAAGGAGCAGCCCTGGTGGTGTAGTGGTTTAAGCACTGGGCTGCTAAGGACAGGGTCAGCATTTCAAAACCACCAGCCTTCCCTTGGGAGAAAGACCAGGCTTTCTACTCCCATCAAGAGCAAGTCTGGGAAACTTACGGGGCCAGTTCCACCCTGTCCTACGGGCTTGCTGTGAGACAGAATGGACTCGGGGGCAGTGAGGTTTGAGTTTGGGGTGGGGACACAAAGCAGAAACAACTGTAGTAAGTGCCAGAGGAGACAGCTGCCCAGAGTCGCCTCCGGGGCGGGGAGCTCCCTGCCAAGCCCCGCATGGCAGGCTGGCCAGCATGTCTCTTACCTGGACATCCAGCTCTTCAGCACTCCACCTGTGGGAGGACCATGCCCTCTTCTCCTCCTTCTGTGTGACCGGAGAAGCCTGTGGCCCGTCCTGAGGAGCCAGAAGGCAAAATTAGGGCTGCCATCATTGATTATGCAAAGATGCCTGAAGCTGTAATCCCTCCCCCCACCCCCCACCCCCCCAAAAAAATAGGGGAAAGAAAGAAGGGAAGGATTCTGGGTTTTGATGGCCCTAACTTCTCTTTGCCTGTGCATATGTGACTTTGTGTGGCCGTGCCCGGGTGTTTGATTGGGAATCCAGTGCTTGTTTTTCTGGAGGCCCTAGACAGGGAACCGAGTCGTACAACTAGGGAATGCCGCCACCTTTGATCCGGTCAGGAGCCAGGGACTCACGTCAGCCCGCTTGTCTGGTGCAGGCCGGAGCACGGTTGGAGGCCTCTTAGTTGGGTGCTGCCTCTCAGTTCCCAGAAAGGCCGAGTTTCCGGTGTCCGGCGAGCCTGAGGGCCTGTGATCCAGTCATGCTGGGTTTAAGCCAGCATGAACGAGGTGAGAGACAGGTCCTCCACTCCCCCCCCCCCCCACCCCTGTTTTAGCCTAGTGTTTGTAGCTTGTGGTGGTGTGCAGTGCCGCTGACCCTACGCACCCTATGTGAGAGCCTGTTGTCGCAGCCCCCATATCCGTCCACCACTGTTGAGCCAGTCCTGACGCAGAGTGACCCAGCAGGACAGAGTAGAACTGCCCCAGAAGGTTTCTAGGGCCTCTGCCCGTCCTGGGGAGCTCCTCGGGGCCAAGTGCGACAGATGAGCCACTGTCTCATAGACTTTGCACACGTCATCAGCAGGGCCCCACCCGAAGAAGGACACCATGGTAGGCAGAGGGTCAGCGTACCAGAGGAAGGGGCTCACAGGACGGATTGGCCCAGGGGCTGGTTGGGACGATTGTGAGGCTGGCGCAGGGCCGGCCGGCAGGGCTGTGTTGGGGTGCGCCTGCGACCGCTAGGACAGCGGCCTCATGTCGCCTCCCCTCCCTGATGTGGCGGCACTGCAACAGTCTTTCTCCCAGGACACGGGCCCTGGGTTCGAAGCGCTGGCCCTGCAACTCCCCTCCTCCTGACAGAACCCACAGCCTCAAGGGGATTCCCGCTCACCGCCACCCTGTGTGGCTTCTCTTTACGGGAGCAGGCAGCCTTGGCTCGCTCTCTCCGAACCCCCGTGGCTTTTGAATCGCTGACACTGAACCCACAGCATGGCAGCGTTCCTCGTGGTCCACCCACCTGCCAGTCCGTTGGGCCTCAGTGATCCCAGAGGGCAGGGTGAACCTGCCTCGTGCCACTCGCCCGTCTCCCGAGTCCACACACAGCGGGCTCAGAAGAGAGTAAATAGCCTTCGGTCGCTGCCTCCTCCTCCGTGTGCTTTCCCCAGGATTCCAGGAGACCCGCTTCTAGCCCTGCAGTCACCCTGGCCCGGGACACGGAGCATTCTGGGAGTCCAGCATTTCATTGCACACTGGGCTGAAGGGGGGGAATTCAGATTTTGATCTGAACGTCGCCCTCAGATAGCCAGGATTCGTTTTATCTTGCAATTTGAAATGCTGAGATAAGGTTTTGTTGATTCCTGTGGCCGCAGTATGACAAGGATGGGGATTTTGTCAGGAGAGGATGCCTGTCTCTGTCATTAACGTCTTTTGTATGGTGGGCACCGTGGGCTGTAGCAGGCGACCCGCCTGTGAGGCATGATGAGTTGATTTGCAGGCAGATGGACAAAAGGTCAGGAAGGTCATGTGCCTGTGAGGGCTCCTTTTGAGGGTCCTGCCTTCCCGACCCCCTGCTTCTGTCCGCCATGGCCCTGCCCGTGGGTACCGGGGGCATGCCTTGTTACAGCCTTCCTCCTCTGCAGGGGTTGGGTGGGCTCTTCAGAGGACTCTGGACCCAGCCCCCCTACAAGCCGGGCACTAGCAGTGTTACTGGTAATATTGTGGACCGAGCCCGGGACTAGCATTGTTACTGGTAATATTGTGGACAGATCCCGGCACTAACAGTGTTACTGGTAATATTGTGGACAGAGAGGCTGGCTGTATGGAGCCCACCCAACTTTGCTTCTGCACAGTGCATCTGCAAGTGTGGGGGTCCGGGGGAGGAAGCACCATAGCAAGCAAAACAAACATGCTTTCTTGGAGCCTCAGACCCCAAACCCAAACACTGTCATCGTCGGGTGGGTCCCGACTCATAGTGGCCTGCAGGGCTGAGCAGAACTGCTCCTGTGGGTTTCAAAGGCTTTGTGGGAGCAGATCAATGCCTAGCTCAGGGCACCCAGGGCTCCTTCATGGGAAGGGTACAGAAGGTGATTGGGTAGAGAATGTTCTAGCAACACCAGCAGGTTGCAGAGGTCAGGGAAGAGTCCCCAGAGGACCCTGAAGGGAGCCCATGAAGGGGCCTCCGTGCTACAGTGTGTGTGTGTGTGTGTGTGTGTGTGTGTGTGTGTGTATGTGTGCTGAGGGAGGGGCCTGCAGACCACACGTCTCCCTGGAACCACACTGGAGAGCCCTGGACTGTGAGGTGGGGTGTGCTGGATCCTGGGGAGGGACACCAGGCTGTGTGTGTGTGTGTGTGTGTGTGTGTGTAAGGGATGAGGGGAGGGTGGTGTGGTATGGAGTAGGGATTTAGAAAGGCCAGACAAAAAGCTGTTGAAACTGCTCAGGAGGAGAGAGACAGAGGGGCATATCTGAGGGGTGAGAAGGCTGCTGGGTGGGAGGAAGTCCCCCTTGATGGAGAGAGATAGCGCGTGTCTGAGGGGTGAGGAACAAGTGCACCCTTGGGAGGGCTGCTGGGTGGGATTTTTTTGGGGGGAGGTGCTCCCCACACTACCTCTGGGTGACTGGAGGGCAAAGGAAGGCTCTGTGTCCTCTTGCCCCTACGCTCTGCCTTAGGTGCTGGTCCTCACTGCAGCAGCATGTAGTCCCCAAACACCAGAACCCAAACCACGCAGCCTGCAGTCAATGCCAACTCAGCCAGCCAATCCTCACAACCCACCCCACCCGGGCATGTCAGTGTTGGGGAGGGAGCCTGAGAGTGAGTGTGTGTCAGGTCTGAGTGGGCATGGGTGGCATGGAGGTCTGGGAACACTGTCCAATCAGTGAGCAACGCTAGAGCCCCCGAATTTCCTTAGGCCTGGGGAGATTGCTCTCCATGACTTCTCTGTCAAAACACCAGCTCTCTCTCAGGGGACTGAACATCCCAGAGGCAGGCAGGCATCTTTGGTCTCTGGCTCATGTGTTCCGGGCTCTGGCTTGGTGAGGCTTCGGGACCTTCGCTCGCAGTGTTTGGGGGCAGGTGCTCGAGCCTGCCAATCCTGAGAGTCAGCTCAACTCGCTCTGGGGAGTCAAGATCACAGGTCCTGTTTGCAGAGGCCCCAGGGCCGGCTTATCCTGCCTGGACAGCAAGCCTGGACAGCAAGCATCTCTCTCCGTATAGGACAGGAATGGGTCTGAGACAAGCAGGGGGTTGATCCCTCCCCATCTCCCCAGCCCCCATTTTAAAAAGTAGAAACCCAAGCTTCCTGGTGCCCTTGTTTTGACTGGAAAATTTGCCAAAGGAAACCCCCTAGCCTAGTGCGAGCTCATCCCATCCACACCTTGCCTCCACCTGGTTCCCTATGTCCGAGGGACTGTTTGCATCCCTCTGCCCCTCCATCCACAGCACCTCAGGGCAGCAGCCTGGGACTCAAGCTGTGTTCCTTTTAAACTTTTTTTTTTTTTTAAGTTGGGCAACACAAGGAAGCCTGAAGGGGCCAGCTTAGGGCTGCAGGGTGGATGGGGTCAGTTTCCTTGATGGGATTCTCCTAGGACAGGCCGTGCTGCCCTGCCAGAGCCAGCAGGTTCCCAGGCCTCTTCCAACGTGCTGAAGACATCT